GGTTCTCAACCTGTGGGTCGCAACCCCTTTAAATACATCCTGCATATCAGATGTTTACATTACGATTCGTAACAGTAGCAAAATTACAGTTATGAAGTAGCAACGAAAATAAATTTATGGTTGGGGGTCACCACAACATGAGGAACTGTATTTAAAGGGTCCCGGCATTAGGAAGGTTGAGAACCACTGCAATACTGTTCCTGCTCTCATGGCGCTCACAGTCCATCACAGGAGTCAGACATTAACCAAATTGCCATGCACATGTGTGGATGATCTGGAACTGATATGAGCAACTCTATAGGAAAGGCCTGTGGTGGTGGCTCTCTGAGAATAGTTAGTGGGGCTTTCCAGAGAAAGGGAAGCTCCAGCTGAGATCTGAGGCTGAGGAAGAACTAGCTAGGCCAAGGGGGAGGAAAGAAAACTCCAAGTAGAGAGACCAGCTTGTGCAAGGGCCCTGTGGTTAGCAGGGACATAGTGCTTTCCAAGAACTGAAGTGGTGATGCTGGGAGTGAGGAGGAGAGTAGGGCAAAATGAAGCTGGAGAGGAGGGCAGGGCTGGATAATGTGCTGAAGAGACCCCTCTGGCTACAGTGTGTAGGGGAGGGATGGGGGTGGAGGAGCGAGAGAAACAGAGAAACCAGTGAGGAGGCCACTGCAGTGTCCAGACAAGAGGGGACATGATGGTGGCTGGGATGGAAAGAAGCTGAGGGGTGGCAGCTGAGAGGATGGAGAGGAGCAGGTGGACATGAGAGAGATGTGGGAGGCCAGACAAGAATTATGAGTGGCCTGGCTGTGGGGGTAGGAGAAGAAGGGGTCCAGGGTGGCTCCTCGCTTTCCAGGCTTGCACACCTGGGTTGCCTATGATGCTGATCAGGGAAGTCGGGAACACAGGAAAGGATGTGGCTTGAAAGGGGGATTCTGAGTCTCAGGTAGGTTGAGTCTGAGGTGCCTTGAGACATTCCAGGGAAGATGTCCAGGAGGCATTTAGACCAGTGGTTCTCAACCTTCTGGCCCTTTATTTATTTATTTATTTTTTAAAATATATATTTTATTGATTTTTTACAGAGAGGAAGGGAGAGGGACAGAGAGTTAGAAACATCGATCAGCTGCCTCCTGTACACTCCCCACTGGGGATGTGCCCGCAACCAAGGTACATGCCCTTGACCGGAATCAAACCTGGGACCCTTGAGTCCGCAGGCTGACGCTCTATCCACTGAGCCAAACCAGGCCCTTTAAATATAGTTCCTCATGTTGTGACCCAACCATAAAATTGTTTTCGTTGCTACTTCATAACTGTAATGTTGCTACTGTTATGAATCGTAATGTAAATATCTGATATGCAGGATGGTCTTAGGTGACCCCTGTGAAAGGGTCGTTCGACTGCCAAAGGGGTCGCGACCCACAGGTTGAGAACCGCTGATTTATACAGATGGACTGAAGCTCAGAGAAGAGGGGAGAACTGGCGATGGAGACCTGGAGGTCTTCAGGGTAGGGATGGCAGTGGAACTGGAAGCCATGGGTGTGATGAGATGGCCTAGGCCAGGGGTGGGCAAACTTTTTGACTCGAGGGCCACAATGGGTTCTTAAACTGGACCGGAGGGCCGGAACAAAAGCATGGATGGAGTGTTTGTGTGAACTAATATAAAATCAAAATAAACATCATTACATAAAAGGGTACGGTCTTTTTTTTTTTAGTTTTATTCATTTCAAACGGGCCGGATCCGGCCCTCGGGCCGTAGTTTGCCCACGGCTGGCCTAGGCCCTAGGGAGTGTGCCTGGGTGAGAAGAAAGAGGACCCAGGATTGAGCCCTGCGGGACTGTTAATGTAGGGGGGAGAGGAAGAACCTGAAAACACACTGGAGCAGGGGCCACCTGGGAGGTGAAAGGGAAACCCCGTGTGACCATATCAGGAGAGTGTGTGGTTTCAAGAAGCCGGGAGTGGCCATCAGTGTCAATGCTGCTGAGTGGTCAGGTCACACGGAGAAAGTGAGGGCAGGCAGTCCTTTCAATCATTCGCTGTGTAGGGTTGTGCAGAGCATAGGTGCTCCTCCTGCATCAGGGTCAGCTGCCTTTTCTTTAACTATAGAAACGTTTCCTTAACTACCGACCTGCAAGTAGTCCAAGGACATGAACTGGGGGTGTGGGTTTGTGGGTGTCCAATTTAAAATCGCATCAAAGAGTCCTTCTGCTTGAGTCAGCAGGACACCCCCTCAGGCCAGTGGACCGTGTTACCCGTCCGCCGGTAGCATTTGATTTCACCATAGGAGCTTATGTTACCTTTCAATGATTTTCCCCTGTGTTATCCCAGGAGAGGTAGGATTCCATTATGTATTCCCCTCCTCCCTGGAAAGGAGAGGGTGAGAGAAAGGAGAGGGAGTGGCCAATTTCAGCCAATCTTTTAGAAGACCCTCAATACCTTCTTTGTCCTCTAGCCTCCATCGTCACAAATTTCTAAGAGAGTTGTCCACACTTCCTCAAATTCCATCTCTAAGCTACCTTCCCCTTCATGCACCTTGGTTTCATCAAAGTCACCGATGGCCAACCAACTTAGAGACCTAAGTCAAGCTCCACTGTGAACTGGTGGCTACACTTATTTAACCTCCACGACCTCCTTGGGGGGTGGGTAACATTGTCCCATACGACTGCTGAGGGCACTGAGGTTCTGATGGTTAAGCGGCTTCCCAAGATCACACGTGGTAAAAGGGGCAGACTCTGCCCCCTTGAAACGCAGGTGTGTCTGATGCTGGTCATGTTCTCCCTCGGTTTATAGCTGACTGTTCCTCCATGGTCAGAGCTGGTAGGGCCTCTGAGACCCTAGGGCCCCATCTACACCCTCCTGAGATGGGGAGACAGGCCCAGAAAGGGGCCAGACTAGCCCAAGGTAACATAGGGTGTAAGGTGCAAAGTCAGGACTCAAAGGGAAAACTGACCAGTGGAGCCCTCTGGGAGCCTAAAGACACCCCCTCCCTCCCCCAGGCTCTTGTTAGAACATGCCAGAAACCATGGTTTTTGGCCCTCGGGAGTCAGGAAAGCTCTGGCCTTTGGGCAGCTCACTACGCTCTTGGAGCCTCCATTTTGTGTATGTAAAATGGGTCAATTATTGGGAGACTTGAAAGAGACATAGGTTGGCAAGGCAAGTCCACTGTAAACCTACAGATTGCTCAGAGGTCATAGAACAAAGCTCATTCTGGGCTCTGGAGCCTGATTGCCTAGGCTCAGATTCAGATTTTTATCCCTTATACTAGAGACCTGGTGCACAAATTTGTGCACGGGTGGGGTATGGCCAGCTGGCCCTGATCGGGGTGTGGAGGGCCGATGGGGGTAGGGCCGGCCAGAGGGAGGGGCCCCGGGCGGTTGGCAGGCTGTCCCCACCCCCTGGTTGAACTCCCGGTCAAGGGGACAATTTGCATATTGCCCTTTTATTATATATACTAGAGGCCTGGTGCATGACATTCATGCACTCAGGGGGTTCCCTCAGCCTGGCCTGCACCCTCTCACAGTCCGGGAGCCCTTGGGGGATGTCCGACTGCGGGGAGCGGGCCTAAGCCAACAGTCAGACATCCTTAGCGCTGCCACAGAGGCAGGAAAGGCTCCCACCACTGTTGCTGCACTCACCAGCCATGAGCCCGGCTTCTGGCTGAGCAAGGCTCCTCCTGTGGGAGTGCACTGACCACCAGAGGGCAGCTCCTGCATTGAGCATCTGCCCCCTGGTGGTCAGTGCATGCCATAGCGACCAGTCTTCAGTCGATTTGCATATTAGCCTTTTATTACATAGGATAGGATAGCCTGTCACCTTGGGTAAATTTGTGTGCCTTAGTTTTTCCCATGTGAAATGGGAATAACAGTACCTACTTAATAGGGCTGTTGTAGGAGTGAAGCACTTGAAATAGTCACCGGCACATAATGTCCACAGTAAAGCTAGCTTTTATTACATGTTTAAAGCATTTTCTAAATCCAGACTACACCGATTTTTTCCATGCCCCGCCCCCTCCAACAGGCCCCACCCTCGTCCCCATTGGTCCCGCCTCCTCCTTCCCAGGTCCTGCTGCAGCCCGCCGGGTTCCTCCCGACACCAGGGGGCGCGGCGCTGCAGGGGGCCTTCTAGCGAAGCGGGCGACGCTCTAGGCAGCGGAGGCGGCTGCTCGGTGGCAGTGGCGGCGGCGCTCTAGCCGTCGGTGTGCGGGGCGGGCTCTCAGTGGTGCGGCCGGCGGGCGGCGATGGCGGCCGTACGGGGCCTGCGAGTGTCGGTGAAGGCGGAGGCCTCGGCGGGGCCGGCCCTGGGGCTCCCGTCGCCTGAGGCGGAGTCCGGTTTGGAGCGTGGCGAGCCGGAGCCCATGGAGGTGGAGGAGGGCGAGCTGGAGATGGTGCCGGTGCGGCGCTCGCTGAAAGAACTGATCCCGGTACTGGGGGGGGGGGGGGGGGCGAGGGGAAGTCCCCCCGGTCTACTGAGGGCCCCGCGCCTGGACGGGCCGGAAGGGAGTCGTCGTGCCCGGGGAGAGTCGGGGGAAGGGGGGGAAAAAAAAAAGGGAACCAGCCCCCGGGGGGGGGGGGCCCCTGGGTGGAAAGACCGGGAGCGAAAAAAAAGGACCCGGGGCCCCCGAAAAG